AGTGTATATTTATGAAGCAAGGGTTCTTCTTCCAGAATTGTGAGTTCATGGCCCCCTGGGTCGGATGTTCTGGTGTAAGGGTGGGGCTTTATTTATTTAATAATATAGTGCAAATGCATTTCTTTGAAAATCTTCTATGCTTCTGGGCATATTCGAGGCAAAAAGAGTAAAAGTTTTAATATGTAAAGGTATTTTTCCAGAATTTTGAACACCTGGACCATTTAGTCAAGTGTTCTGGTCCTTGCCAGGGCTCTATTAACTTGTATTCTGCTGAGCAAAGTTATTCCCCTTTGCTATTCACCTTTGATGATTAATCACTGTAAACAATGTATTTGAAAAATCAATAAAATACGAGCATTATGCAAGAATATTTATTGTATAATACAAAAAGTACTTTCATAGTTTTAATGATCAGGTAGAATTGGAAATAAGAGATAAATAAAAATGAGACAAAAATAACTAATCTTTTTAAATGTTCTTCAAAGGCCAAGAGAGGCCAATGTGAGAAGTAATAATATGGGGTTTAAAAGTAGACATTTGTCAATAGTCTGCATGGTAATAGTGATAAATTGTGGGCAGATAGTTACTAAACCAATTATTTTGTTGATGCTAATCATACTATTTTTCTTGCTTTTGGACAACAAAGCTTCATTTATCAGTTTATGGATCCTCTAAATTGTTGTATTGTACTCAGGTGATCGCTAAGGCCCTTGGGCCTCTTGTTATTTGAAAAATTGAATTATAAAAAAAAACTTACCTGGTAAAAAAATTCTATTTATAATGTTGTATGCATCCTCTCACCACAGTATTTATTAACATTCTTTTTATTTGAATATTTATTTTTAAAAAAGAAATCGCTTGTCCCCTTAGACTTCAATGCAATATTTGTTAATTAATTTCTGCTTAGTTAATTACATTTTTAAAACTTCCTCTTGATAAAACACTTTCTGCTATAAAATGCTTTTACATAGGAAATATCTTTAAAATCTTCGTCTCAAGAACCACTGAGCCATTATTAGTCATATTTATACAGAAGAAACCTTAGGTGTTGTAGAACCAAGTTTGTTCAAATCATGGGGACACAACAGAGGGTCAATTAAGTTTTCCAAAAGAAAAAATATAGGAATCATCTTGAAAAAATCTGCTCAAGAACAGCAAAGGCATGATTAGTCATATATTATTATAGAAGCATCCTTTGGTGGTGTAGATTCAAATTTGTACAAATTTAGGGTGGGTAGTGTGGGACCACAATGAGAGATCAGAGTTTTACATAGGAAAACATAGGATATGATTGATTGTATGTTGTTTTACGTTCCGTACAAGAATTTTAAAATCATATAGAGACTTCACCATATACCGGTGAGGGGCTTCAAATTTACCTTTACTCGGCACCCAGGGCCATTGAGCAATGGGGGATCTTTATCGTGCTTACGCCTGATGTGACATGGACCTCGGTCATCAAGGTCGTATCTGAAGACCCGCAACTTTCACTTCAAAGTGCTGAGCACATGGCGAAGGAACAGTTGCTACCTATTTTTTATCGAATTAGGTCAGTCGCGGCCGGGGCTCGGACCCCTTTCCTTCCGATCACGGAGCGAGACCTCTTCAGAATGAGCTATCATGACGGTGGAAAACATATGGAAAAAAAATCTTTAAAATTCTTCTGTTTAAGAACAGCAAAGCCATGATTAGTGATACTGATATGCAAGCATCCTGTGGTAGTTTAAGTTAAAGTTTGCCCCCTTTCCTTTAATACTGAATTGATTACTACTTCTTCCTAGCCAGTGAGCTCAGGTGAGCGATACGGCCCAGCCTCTTTTTGTATTAACTACCACCCGATAAATTCAAAAATTACAATATGACATTATTTATACCAGTGTCAAATTACTTTTGCTCTTAATCACAACTCTTTTTATGAGGGGTCTAGAAGATGTATATCCATTGAAATCAGGCTTTAACATCAAAAACATCATTTAAAATAGTACTCAGATTTTAAAATACTCATAGACATGGATAAATGATCCTTCATTTTTTTCCATATGTTTAACTCATGTAATTTATCTGTAATCATACCCCCACCCTCACCCTCAGGAACAACAAGAGCTTTCGTATGAATTTGTCAAATAATAATGCAAAATTGCTGTAAAAAGGAAAGGAGGATGTTTTAAAAATATTTTCCGTTGATTTTTATGGTGAAAAACACAAGTTTTTCCAAAATTATAGAGCGTAGGCATAGTTTCCGAATACTTCTGATTGTACTTTCATTAACATTTCTCAACAGCTTTTAGAATATTGTAAAATGGCGGTTTTTATATTCAAAAGAGCATTTTGTTATTTTCGCGCAATGTTCTGGCAAATATTTTACATACTTGCTCCGTTTTATTTCTGTTGTAGCAGTAGATTCAACTTTTCAGTTTCTTCATTACACGCACTTATAATCCCGGCTAATCTGTAAAGGATTAGGCAATGAGGGAGAATTTGTTAGTTTATCGCAATTTTTCCATTTTTATCCAGTTTAATATAGACACGTTCTTAACTCTGTGAAGACTGAAATATGAATTGAACACGAACAAAGAAACCTGAGTTTCCTGTGTGTTTATTCAGAAATTATTTCTATAAATATAGCAATCTGATTAAAATCAGTTGTTTGTTTGGCTACGTTTACGACGTACGATGTACTACTTATGATATATTTTTTCATTGTGACAGTTTTTTTTTCATCTTTTAATCATTAAAAAGGGATAACTGCGTTATCTAACCTGTCTCTTTAATACAAATGCACTGTTCCTTTCAAAGTACACCAGGTAATAAAAAAAGATTTATATTTTTTTTATTTTTCAATAATAAATCTGGAGATTAGGAAAATGGTAAGGATAATATTCAATTTTTTAATTAGTTATTACTACTACATGTAGGACTGACACAAAATTCGACAGGGATTTCTGATACAATGGGTGCACGCAATCTGGGCGTTAGGTGAAAGACTGTTACTCCATGTATAAAATATATCTCCCAAAAGCTACGGAAAATTCCTTTTATTACATGTTTATGGCTCAAAACGTGTCGTACATTAACTCTTCTTTATAAATAATTCATTTAAAAAAAAATAATCTTTTCCATATATCAAAAAGAGCTAGTTGTTTTACACTGAGCTCATGAACGATTTCATTGTGCATGTAAAACGTCAAATGACGTCTTAGTGCATTTTGTGTGTTTTACTCGTAAAAGTTAAAATATTCCACAACAAATATCTCTGTAATGGATGCAGGTACCTTATAATGTCCGGAATAAAAAAATGTTGGGCATATTCCCAGCTTTCAGGCTATGGCATTCATTTTTTTTTATTTTATTGTGTTTGTAATTTAGATAAAGCCAACAGAAGATAGCACAAAATCAGTCATTTATGCGTAGTTTTATCAACTTCCTGCAATGATATGCATATTCAATTCATGTTTATGATAATTTTTCAACATTGCACAAAAAATTTTGAGTTGAAAAAATGCTTAGTTTCTTCTTTAGTTTCAGAAAAGATCAATTGTTTTGTTGTAACCCGAATATTTAGAAAACGCCAACAGTTAAATATCTGTGATACTGGAAATGCGTCGAAATGCTACTCTGGGGGTTAAAGGCTTAACAGATTATTATAAAAAACTGGAAATAAATGTACAAAGTTTGGAGGTTGATTTTGAGATTTTTTACCTTTCTGATCGACGGCACTCTTACTGTGGCGCTAATATTTGAATGTTGCAAACCTATGGCTCTGATTTTGTAACTGTTGCGTTATAGAATTGAATTTAACTGTGGCGGAGTTAAACAGTCTATGGAAAACCCTGGGTGATACTTTCTCCTCAAGACACCTGATCATACCTTTGTTTCTACGGTGTAAGTTTTTGACCCGTTCACTATTCATTATTATTTGGTTTATGTGATTGATCCTTATTCATAATCTTCTTTGTTTACTCTTCACTGGGCACTCAGAACTATTCAGCAGGGAAGTCCTTTAGGGTGAAAATGCTTCCGTGACACGGGTAAAAGTGGATAGAAAAAATTCATCTATCAATAACTTTGAAAACTTTGATTAAAATTTCTTCGATGGGACCGAGAAAAAACTTCGGGGTATCCGAGGATTCGAGATATTGAGGGTAAAATACTTAAAGATAAAGTGCTTGGGACTTCCAAATCACTTCGACATATCCATGGTGTTCGAGATAACGAAGTTCAATTGTAATTTATTTTTAAGTAACTTTATGATAATATCGTATAACTGTAATGCCCGTGATCAATTAAAATATTGTGCCAAATTATGCAGATCGAGGTCATATATCGTTTTTTAAAAGGGGGGGGGGCAACCAGGGAAAAAAAAATCAAGCTACCCCCATACTATGTGCCTGATTGGTAGTCATATATTTCACTGTTAAGTGTCGTAGCATACACAACTTGAGGATTTCTTTCAAGGTGAGGGGTCCGAAAATTCTTGCAACGCTAATACAAGGTGGGCACATGCATTTAAACCAAATGTGGCATGTTTTTGTTAGGTACCTGTATAAGGAAAACTGCCTAACAATCTATGCAGTATGTTTATCCACTGCTACTGTTATTTAAAATAGCAAATGCCAAGGCTTTTGTCTTTATCAACAGATCTTGTTAGTTTTGATCTCTGCTAAACAGACAAGCCCCCCCCCCCCCCAACTCATCCCTGCTTAGAAAAAAAAAGATTAAACTGCACCTTTCTGTCAACTGAATGATTACTGAAAGATATGTAAAGATGACTGAATGACAAAGATCTGTCATTCACTCACCTTTTAGTCACCGCTAAATTCACTGAATGGTTGAGTTTCATCCTGTTAAACAAAATAGCTTGTATTGTTAATATTGTTAATACTGTGCATTAATTAGTTTTACATGTAAAAAATGCATAGATTCATCACATGAAAATTAAGTGGATAATTGTCCTCTATGAATAAAATTAATTTCCACATACCATCTTCTCTCGTTTTTAGTCCTGAGGCAAAGGGGAAGATTTGCTGGATTTTCTCTCTATCTCTCAAATTCAACTACAAAAGAAGACGGATATATGTGCTACAAAGACGGACCAGAGTTACCTCTATTAAATTTCACGACAAACTGTATCGGATATGGTCGATTTGTCATCTACTACAATGAAAGACTGAGTGGAGTAACGTATCCAGAGGGGTATGAATCTACTTCCTACACCCAGTTGTGTGAAGTGGTAGTGGAAGGTAAGTTTACAGAAGTCACTTTTTATAATTCTTGTTATTATTCCGGTTTCTAAGTTATGAAATATTTTTAACAGGATGCTCTAGAGGAAAGTATGGGATAAATTGTGATATGAATTGCCCCACTAATTGTTTTGGAAGAGAATGTGATATTGTCCGTGGAACATGTATGAAATGCAAGGCGGGCTGGGAGGGAGAAAAATGTCAAACATGTAAGGTGAACCTTCATTCTATACATATTAAGCGTATTTCGGATATTTGTAAATGGTTTTTAAATTATTGTTGTAAAAATAGCTTGCCCGAATGGATCATACGGTCAGGAATGTAAATCCAAATGTTCAGGACATTGCAAAGATCGAATTCCATGTAACCACGTGACGGGTGAATGTGTCAGAGGCTGTGTTGTGGGATGGACTGGGTCTTTATGCAATAAACGTAAGACTTCAATATTTAAATAAAGAAATGTCTTTCTAAAGAACGGTTACCTTTAATCCAATTGATTTAAGTTTTTTGCATACACGAAACACCTTTAATTGCAATTTTACTAACTAAAATGTTCATTTATATATATATATATATATATATATATATATATATATATATATATATATATATATATATATATATATATATATATATATATATATATATATATATATATATATATATATAAATCATTCTGAGCAAATCGAAAAATTGCATAGATAAAACTGTGTAAGAGTTTTATTTTATTCTGTCAATTAAATCTAAGTAGCATGTTCAATTTACGTGTTTTGTTAGGCATAAGAAATCTACAAGGTATGAACTATATGATCTATATGTTTAATGTATTTCCCCTGATAATCAGAGTAAGACGCACGTAAGATACGTAATGTAAGAGAAGAATTTTTTATCCGTTTTAAACAAACACCCATTTACCGTAAGAACATGAAGTTAACAAATTACAGCTTGTGATGCTGGACGTTTCGGCGTTAATTGTACTTCCTACTGCAGTGGACATTGTTTTAAGGACGAATCATGTAACAAGGAAACTGGGCACTGTGACTTGGGATGTAGCGGTGGATATATTGGGGATTTGTGTAACATAGGTAAGTTTTAATAACTTACAATATGTAAATGCTTGTTTGTGAGGTACTTACAAAAAATCATATTTTGTTATAACTTAACAACTGCAGTGGTTGAGTTAAAGAAGATTGCAAATAATAATTGACCATGTAAAATGCCTTCGTTTTGATACATCAGCGAACCACTTTAACAGAATGTACACCTGGGTGGTTTGGAGAAGAATGCAAATACCGCTGTAGTGGACAGTGTGCTGATGATGAAAGTTGTAATCACGTGGACGGGATTTGTTCTCGTGGATGTAAAGACGGTTATATTGGACAAAACTGCACCACACGTAATATATATATATATATATATATATATATATATATATATATATATATATATATATATATATATATATATATATATATATATATATATATATATATATAATCTTTCATAATCGCCTTATTTTTGGAGATATGTTTACTTTTATTTTTTCTTTTCATATAATCAAATATTGAATCATAAAAAAGACATTTTTTAAACATTTTAAACCATAATTAAGTTTGTACAGTCAACCGCTATGGTAAAAATTGCTCCGGTGTCTGTTCCTCAAAGTGCACTAGTACGTGTGCACATACTGATGGTTCTTGTGAGTGCAGTTCTGGTTGGATGGGTTCTCCACATTGCAACAAAAGTGAATATTTATCTATGTTTACATATATGTATAAAAATCTTTTTGAATACCCTTCAATGTAATTGTAAATACATTTTTAGAAATAAAATTAATGTAAAATACTAAGACTTCCTAAAACGTCATTGTTTTAGGTTGTCCTCTTAATAAATTTGGCAAAAATTGTGCTCATGAATGCAGTCAAAATTGTGCAAATGACATTTGTGATAGATTGAACGGTAGCTGTACTGCAGGATGCAAGGAACCATTTTTTGGAGAAATGTGTGATCAAAGTAAGTGTATTTTCCTTCGAATTTTTACACTTCCTTCTGTTTCTATTGGATTATTCATACATATAATACGTTTTTTCTTAGGTGAAGAAACTTCTTTCCTCAGTAAAGAAAGCAGTTCTGTTGAGGCCCTCACAGTTGGAGGAGTTCTGGGTGCTATTACCGTTGTTACCATCCTCTTTGTATTGGTTGCTTTAGCCATGCGGTATTTTCATATTTTTCTGCAGTACTCTTGATGTAAAATAAAGTGATACTTGCATTTGATTTACAAATTAGCGGAAACACTATTTTAGCTTAAATTGCAAAGTGGTCGATGCACCAACAATTTTGTGTCATTTTCCTTTTTGTATATTTCCTGTAGACTGAAAAATAAAACATATAAGAATACTAGTCTTGCCTTGCCAGAAAGAAGGTCTATGATGGAATTAGAGAACAAATCACAACCAAGAGAAAGTAAATAATTTTCGTCTTGTTTAGCATACATGTCTTTACAAGCAATACGTTCATTTGTTATAATTATTATTTGTATTGATACCTGATCATTGCCATGTATTTGCAGAGTTATTAAATAAATATACCAAAGCAAATAAAAAATGCCAATATGGATATAAAAATTTGATTGCTTATTCTTTGAAATATGTACAGGGGAGTTTTTGTTATAAAATCATTATTACACTGTACTATGATAAGGTTTGTACACGCCCAACGTCATAACTTATTCATTTCATATGTAAATTTACTCATTTCGTAAACAGAAAATACATTTCCAATATATATATATAGATAGATAGATAGATAGATAGATAGATATAGATATGTTTATACGGGATCGTCCGGGAACCCGGGACTTCTCTCGTCCGGGGAGAGAATCATATCCCTAGACCAATGAGCCGCTTGACATTGATAGAAAACAAATGCAAACAGTATCTCTCATATACATGTATATATTCACGTTTGATATCGTCGAAAATTCACGCAACATATGGTGTCTAATTTAGCCTTTACTAAACAGTTCTAATAGATGCAAGTAGAACATAAAGTCCGCCGACAATATGTATTATATGTAATAACTCTCCACATGCTCCTGTGCTAAAATTAAAAAATAGTGTCACGCGACTTTTAATACAAACGGAGAGTAGTTCTTAAACTTTGAGTGTGATCGATGCCAACAAATTTCCAATTGAATTTGCAATTGAAAAAAAGACCAAAATTAGAAAGAAAAAAAAACGTGGCGGAACACTTTGAGAGGGTTGTACTGGGCAAAAAGGAGTTATGGTATAAAATTTCATTGCAAAAACTCAAAAGTTTCTTGAGATATCTCCTGGAAACAATAGTGTTACATAAAGACAGAATGTATTAATTTACGACCTTGACCTTTTGACATCAAAATCAATAGGAGTCCTTTGCAGGCCACGGGGAGTTGCTATGTAAAATTTCATTGCAAAAGCTCAAAGGCTTCTTGAGATATCGCGCAGAAAGGAAAGTGTTACAGACAGACAGGAAAACAGATGGACGGACGGACAGAAAGACCCTATTTAATATCCCCCTATTTCAGTGAAAGCGAGGGACAAAAAAATTTATGAAATTGGGCATCGTTCGTAGAAATCATATAATGTTAAATAATTTTAAATTATATCAGTTATTTTTACTGTTGTATTAAAGATAGGAAAATCAATGAAAATTCAAGCATTATGAATACAAGCGAAATTCCTGAGATCGGAAGGAATCCATATGAAATTCACGAAACAGCTAAAAGAGGACGACCAACTAATAAGACCATATCTGTGGCGAATTTACATTCTATCATATCCAAAATGTCAGGAGCTGAAAATCTAGGCTTTAAGCAGGAATATCGTGTACGTTGCATTTCCTTTTTTTATTTTAGAAAGGTACTATCTCAATTCTCATGTATAAGTTTTTACATTAATGATCCTCTTTAGTAAAAATTGGAATTAAACTGTTAATTATTACTAGTTACTTAACCGTATTTCTTTCTTTACTTAACGCAGGATATGCCAAAAGGCGAATTTCATCCTTGTGAAGAAGGCAAAAAACCGGAAAACAAAGTGAAGAATAGATACACAACCACATTCCCTTGTTAGTGTGTATATAACATATATCCATATTTATTTATACGGGTACCTTGTTATTTAATCATATTTTAATTATTTATTAGATGACCACTCTCGGGTTGTATTAAAGACGTCAAAACCAGGGGATGGAAATTATATCAATGCTAACTATATTGAGGTAAGTAACTATATGATTAATGGTACATGTTGCTGATCGTGTCCTAATTCCTTTTTATTCACATACGAAAGTAAAGTATAAAATTATTAATTTCTGAACATATATTTCTAATTCAATTTTTTTGGATGAATTAGGTTTTTCTGCTACAAAAAAAAAAGAGAAACAGAAATTACATGTTTATATGTATCGTTTTATGTAATGAAAGAATGTTATTTGTGAAATTCACAGAATATTTTTTCTCATGATATGTATGGAAAACACAATTCTAAAATGAGATTACATGTATTTATATGCTATCAGACTATAATCAAAACGAATTTCCAGATATAAAATGTAAATTAACATTGTGACAATTATACTTTTGACATCAGGATTTAACTGGGAAACGATCCTACATTGCAACGCAAGGTATGTAAAAATTATTAATTGAACATTTTCAATACTTTTCTATTGATGTCTAGTGTTTTTATTTTTGGTTCTGTATTATATAGGTAAATAGTCATAATTTGTGACAATTCCATGAGTTTGGCCTTCATAAAAAATAAATATTTTACTTTTTTCATCTTAAAATTAAAACAAATTATACTCTGCTTAATATCATTTAGTTATCTACAATCTTTAGACAATGCTTAATTGCAACACTGATTTTCCTTCCCCTTTTGCACCCCTAATTTGAATGTCAAATTTTCACAGATGTCAATATTTCTGTGTCGCCATGTTGCATATTTATAAGGTTCACGTTTATTAACCTTCCTACCTTCACCTTGGCAAAGTACGTTAACACATAAGGCTCACCACGGGTGTGACTGGCTAACAGGGGATGTTTATTCCTCCTAGGCACCTTATCGAACCCTGATATTTCCAGTGGGTCTATGTTTTATGCCTTGTTCATAAATGCATTGTTTAGAGGATTTTTGAAATTGGTTACTGTTCGTTATCTTCAGCATTTTCTTTTTTGATCTTTTTGTACAATAGAAATATAACCATTCACTTGAATTTAAGTACTCTTTATTATTTGAACTTTCAAACGCGAGAACATCGTTGAAACGCTGCTAGACATTTCGTTCATGAAGTAATTGTCATGTGACCATTTTTTTAAATCTTACTTGAGCTTTAAGCTTAAATGGGCCCTGTCTTGTGCCAGTCTGACTACATGTAATTGCTTACCTGTCCGTCCGTTCTGTAAAGCCTAAACTTATTAGATTTCTACTCTCGACCGATTTGTAACTAAACGACCCACCGTTTAATTAGACATTCTTTTTAAAAAAGAAACCCACACATTTTAATATATTGTGCACTACTTTTAGCGGCGAAGTTTTGACGTTATTATTCGGGGACGAGAAAGAAAGAGAGAGAGAGAGAGTTTGAGCAGTGCTAAACACTACAAAAATGTAATTAAAGAAACATCTGACAAGAGGACTGTTATCTACTCTAGTCAATAAGTTATACGTACATTATTAAACAAACTGTTCAAGAAAAGCATGGCCTTCCGAGTAATTTCCTTTTCTTATATATCAATAGAAGATCTATAAAACCCGTATTCGAAATGATAAGTTTTTCAAAACAACTTTTAATAACAATATTAAAAATGAAAGGATATATTAGTGGCGCATTAGGGAAAAAAACACCTTTTTTATATGAGAAATAGATATTTGATAAGGTTTGTTAAGCTTATGTTAGCTTTATTGTAAGTATACATAACTATATTACTGAAGAGAATATTTGTGTGTTAAAGAAATATATCCTTTCTGTTGTAAGGTCCAAAACCAAAGACGATTTCTGATTTCTGGAAAATGATATGGCAGGAGGATGTGTCCGTCATTGTCTGTTTGACCAACCTAAAGGAAGGCGAAAAGGTTTGTTACAAATTATATTTAATCACTGAATGATATAGTAAAACCAATGTTCATCCATTTTAATCTGACTTCATAAATCCATAAATGTAAAATATATTGGGGCCTTTGTTTATTTTTAAGTCACTTTTTATGAATTTTTTGAAACATTACATATACGATTTGACTATTGTTTGGAATGTTTGCTGTGAATGTTTTTGACTTTTTTTAAATTGTTTTTCCTTTCGAGTTGTATTTCGCTGATTAATCTTTGATGTATGTCAGTTAGAGTTTCTTTTTCTTTCTAGACCAAATGTGCTCAATATTGGCCAGACATTAACGATAAACTGATTGGTGATGTTTATGTCAACAACCTACAAGAAAAATGTCACGCTAACTATACAATAAGGCTATTCAAAATCAACAAACGTACTGTAAGCTCACACATCTTATTTCATCATTTTTGAATTGATTTTATTTGGTTGAAATTAAGTTCCAATAATAAAGACTCTTTTGTTTACTTTCATCCCCAACGTTCATGAAATAATTCAAAGAATTTTTTAAAAAAGTTATTACATTCTTGTTCCAATAATATGGAAACGGACATTGATATATGTATAGTTTTATGAAACAACATACATCACTATGTTTCATGGTTTGGCTGTGTGGAATTAACTCACATTACCACGGTTAGTCCTAAGTTTGTAAAACAAAAAGTAACCTTAAAAAACTGTCACGGGCATATTTTAAAGCATATATTTTATCGAGTACATCAACAGATTAAAAAAGAAATACATTAAGTACTTTACTATAGAGAAGGAAGTTATCTCGCTGTAATTTATTGTTGGTAAACTTATTTACACCATTTTAAAGACCTTGTTACATGTAAGTAACTGTCGATCTGAGTATGAGCAATAAAACATTGATAAAAATGAAATAAATGATTTTGCCACTGATTTTTTTTTTAAACCTTTGATATCCACATATTAAAAAAGGTTGGGTGTCAGTACGTAGATTGATATATTAACACTGTGACAAGGGGGTATAAGGACGGCATTTTTATTGATATGCAAACTCATAAAAGCCAACTAGTCAAATGAATATGCAAGCTTTCCAATCTTGCTTAAATTTGGATATCTTCAAATTAGGATCCTTGTTAAAGCAAGATCTAATATGAAAACCTTCGAAAAAATAAAATACACATGCACAGGGCTAATATTCGGACAGCATTAGTGTTTGCAGTAGCCAAATTTGTATTCATATTTGAGTATAAAAAACAATTTGCACAGGATGAATTTCTCTGTGAGGACATCAAGGGTGTTGCAGCACTTTTTCTCAGACCATTTGCTGGAGTGCCTCTTTGAGGATCTTGCAGCAATTGACATTGTAACTACAATAAAATATAAAATTAAGACAAAGGTAAATATCAACTTGTTTAGTCTTTTTTAAAAAAGCATTTAGTTAACTGAAAGGTGACTTAATGGCAGAGCTCAGCCATTCAGTGACTTTTCCGGTCCTTTCAGTCACCATTCAGTTGCCTGAATTGTAAAAATCATCCCGTATTAAAACCCCTGATTAAAATACACACTATATTGCTTTTGCAAGGTACAAAACCTGATTTGTTATTCGGATTACTAAATTTTGCAGAAGAAGATACTTGCAATAAATATCCTTTTACAGAGCTTTCTTGAAAAGAATCTGAAAGAAGATAAAAAGTCATTCTGAAAATGTCAAATTCTATTAAATATGAGATAAATATGAAGCAGCAAGTCAGTCCATAGTTACTTCTCAATGGTATTATAGGATTAAACGTTCTTTTTGAAAAATTTATCAATGTGTAAACTCTTGACATTTTACTCACAAACTAAAAAAAAGGACTTTTATGTTAAGTTTGAGAGTAAAATGTCAAGAGTTTACACATCGATAATTTTTTTAAAAGAACGGTTAATTCTTATAATTCCAATTACAAAGTTTTAAAATTATTTCTCTTTGATGCCTCCATACAATCCGTTATTTTTGTACGGCGAAGGAATACTTTATGTCGCGATGTGGAAATGAAACGTAATCGAGATGAACATCGATAAAGTTTAACTTTAATTGTCAAGACATTCAATAAAATAAACTTATAAAAACTCTTCGAATATTGTTTAAGTCAATAACTATTGCAATTACAAGTAGACTTCAGAAGAATTCATCCTTGCCCATGTTGAAACGCTCTAAAATGAAAGTAGCAGATCGACGACACCCTTGATTTGCTCTGGTTTATTTAGAGACGGGACATACCATAGGATGTAGAAATATGAATTTGATGCTAATAAGGAAAGAGTTTGAGGTACGTTTCTCTTTCCTATAGGCTACAGAGAACAGTGCTGATTTAGTAGTATATTATGAACGTCGAGAATATGACATCAGATTCATAGATTTAAAAATTCACACTCGTGATCTGACAGCGACATAAATAAAATATTCCCGTCTGTCAATTCTGTATGTCGTCAGTTTTGTTTTTATTTAATTTCAAGTTTATGAAATTATGTAATCATTTAGCTTAAACAGACTAAAAATAAGGATTTGTTTAATTTTTTTTTACAATAAAAGCTAGGTCAAGAAAGTAGTTCTTGAATTTGATCTCGTCCAATCAAAACACAGGAAATCAATAAATAAATTCAAGATTGGAATTACCACATTTTAATTTTGAAAAGAAAAGAATTTTTTTCATTGATTCTATGTTGTTTAAGGCACCATTTAAGAATATTTCACTCATAAAGAAACGTCACCGTGTGCCGGTGAAGGGCTTTAAATTTAGACATGCTCGGTACTCAAAGCATTTGGGCAGTAAGGGTTCCTTATCGTGCTACATGTAACACCTACTGTGGTACGGGACCTCAGCATTTCAGGTCTCATTCGAAAGAATCTTGAACTTTACTTCTTATGCAGGGCGCTTGACGAAGGAACAGTCTCTACTATGTCTATGTTAAGGTTTGACTCGGCGGGTCGAACGTGAATCGCACACGCCCCTCCCCATCAGGAAGCGAACCATAAAAAGTAAAGATAAAGAGGATTAAAATAGTTAAATAAAAGCATTATTACATATGTAAGGTAAATATGATTTCACAGAAACCAATGGTTACTGAAAGTTTGTTTTTTTTGGCACACTTTAATACAACACATCGACATTAAGGAAATTTAAACTTGATTTTGTCCGTCTCTCTCCAAAGTATGGAAACCAAATTCAACAGTGTAAAATAAGTCCTGATAAAATATGATTATTTATATATTTTTTCGTGGTAATTTAATGAATTTTTAATGTCATTAAAGATTGATTGATTGTTTTTTGGTTTACATCCCAGTCGAGAATTTTTCATTCACTAGAGAGGTAACCATTAACAGTGAAGGGCTTCAAATTAAGGTCTATAATCGGCACTCATTCATGGCCTTTGAGCATTGATGGTTCATTATCGTGGCAAGGCCTACCGTGACACAGGACCTCGATTTCAAAGGTCTTATTTGAAAGGCCTGTTAGTTTCAAATCTCGTCTCGGGTGCTTGGCGAAGGAACAGTCACTACCTTTGTTAGCGCCTTATAGCTTTGACGCAACGCGGGGAACGAGAATCGAACCCTGGCATCCCAAACACAAAGCAAATGCCCTATTACTAGGCTACCATGACCTGTATGTGATAAAAGAAGGCAAGCCATCTCACTTCTTTTTCTTTGGATTTTCAAACAAATTGAAAAGATTGAAATTATTTAAAGTCAGATTTTTTAAAGATGCATAACTTTTGTATCTTTGTTGCAATGGATTTATTGACGAAATAGCAAAATTATTCTATTGTACATAAAGGCACATAGGGTCCTCTAACCACAGTATGTGGTATGCATTCAAACTATATCTTCCTCAGAAAACATTCAAATTTAAGTACATATGGGTTTCAAAACGGACAGTCGCTACAACATATCTTAATATAAGCAAATGATTAACCATTGTCTTGGTATAAATAAAGCCGACACTTTATATGTAAACATATTGTGTAAAACTGAAAGGATTTTTTGATGAAAACCATTTACACTTCAGAGACCCATATTTTATTTGTAGGATTAATCGATAAATGCAAGCAATTATTTATGCTTATTGCTCTTATCTTACTTTAAAAAAAAAATAAAATCTGATTACATCATATGTTTTTTGTCAAGTAACAGAAGCCATGCTTCAACATCTTTGATATTAGTTCGAATTCTTGCAAGCATACAAGAAAAAAGTAACAAATCCATAACACGCCCTGTAAACGTTCCAGTTAGAGAACACAACAAAATCGAAATTATTCATTCTGGCTACTATGTAAATAAATGAATTTGTAGAAGCTTACCTATTTATTTCTCTCAGGTATTCCAATGGCCTTTGCGATGGCTGCCATTTGAAGGTCTGCAACACACCTCATCTCATAATATCCCCATGGTCATTTCTTTTTTTTTTTTCCCTTTGTTTTTGACTAGAGAAATTGCTTTTTGAGGATTATAGTTTAAGCGATCCGAAAATTTATAACGAATATTGATATTTATTGATAACGGATACGCAACGGTAAGTCCCAGCTGAGAATCCGGCGTGCGCACCCGTTTTATACTCTCCGATTATAGGAGGTGTTAAAATACTTCGAATTTCCGTTACATGCGTATTCGCTGATGTTTTGAATTAGAATTTAACTGAAACTGTTTCTTCCACAAACGTGTATACGATGTCTTGGTTTCAGAACATAATCATATGTAATACATTCCATCCATATCAAAACATTACGCATGAGATGCAGAAAACAGTATATTTTTTTAAATTATAGTAAAAAAAAAATAACTTTGACAGCTTTTCAAAATTACTCTTATAATTTCATCTCAATCACCCGAAAAAAGTAAGTGAAAAATAATGAATGACATTGCCTTTTTTACAACTATTTGCTGAGTGAAAATGAAATGTAAAGAGAATTAAGCCGAAAATGAACGTAAAATGGAGGTTTAGGCGCCCCAACAAGGGTTAGAAAGATAAAACGTAAGAAATTGAGAATATTTTGTTTTGTTTGTTTCAGCATGTTTCTCTCAATTTCTGTTAGTTTAAAGTATCAATATATAAGTCTGCTAGAATCAGTACTTCTAAGTTTACGCCATGGAGATTCTGTGACGTCATTTTTTATCAAAGAATATCTCCGGGCAGCCATAACATACCCGCATATTTATATACTTTCAAATACCTATAAATTTATTTAAGTCCTCTTCCTTCAAAACAATTTTTTGAATATTTACACATAGATGTGAGTTTTAGGTAAAATATGTAGTCCTTATTTGATGAAAAAGGGCATTTGTCCAAATATGTCCATTTATGAAATAAAACAAAATTAATATAAATTAATACTAATATAAATGCGCAAATCATGTTTAAAGTCATGATTATTTC